TTGAGCCGGGATTACAATTTAAAACATCTTAAAGTTTATCACTAATAAATCTCAGTGCCAGTGCTTCATGACATAAATCTAACAAACTAAACAAAGAATCACAACATTTCTATATCCCAATTCCCATACCACATAACGCCAGTGGTTCTTTTGTGAGAAATATCAAAACACTTTTTTACTTTATTGTCATCACTCGGCATTATATAGTATTACTCCGCTTCGACCAAAATCACTCGGCTTACTCAACTCAAAAGCCTTCCAGGCACTTCCTGCTCTAGAACTATCTTGATTTGTTAAAATATTTGAGTAATTCGACGCAATACAAGAAAAAAACCAAATCCGATCCGACAAAAAACCTACAAAATCCGATAAATAAAAGAAATCCAATCCGATCAGATTGGATCGCACACCTTTAATGAACATGCTCCACTGGTTACACAGACAAAGTTGAGATTATAAGCCGTTTTTGTTGCACATCGAGTTGGAGAGATCCATGACGAATCGTGTCCTGACCAATGGAAGCATGTTCCAACAGAGTTAAATCCTGCAGATTATGGTTTGCGAGGAATAAATGTCAGCGAGATGAAAAACAGTCAGCAGTGGTGGTTTGGCCCAGAATTTCTGAAGAAATCTAAAGATGCATGGCCTGAAGAAAAAATCGAAATAGAACTCAACTCAGTAAAGTGTAAAGAGTTGAAAGTCGAAGCACGAAAACAAGAGAGTGTCTCTACAAATGACCAGTCCTCAAGTTTCAATTATGGCATATGGATCCTTTACGATATTCGAAGTGGTACAGAGTAAAAAATGAGAACAAGTTGGAATTTGGACTTTTGTTAGTATGAGTATGTTCGTGGGTCGACAGATTCATCAATAACTACCGTAGATCAAGGGAAGAACGCACTCATGGAGAACTCACAGCAGATGAGGTACGCAGCACAGAAGAAAAATGTATTAAAAAAGCGTTATCCTGATGAGATCAAAGCTTTCAAGCAAAATAGAAATCTACCAAAGAGCTCTATCCTTACATTAACACCGATATTAATGGATGGACTGTTAAGATCCAACACAAGATTACGTTACGCAGAACATTTACCAAATCGAGTGAAGTACCCTGTTATCCTTCCAAAGAAATATCCGGTTATGGAACTGATCGTCAAGTATCATCATGAGAAAGAAGGACATGAAATGGGACTAAATTATATTCTGAATCATCTTCGCGAGAGCTACATAGTTGTGCATGCACAGGAAAAGGTTAAAAGAATCATGAAAGAATGCACAGTGAGTGCAAGAGAAGATTCCGCAGGAAACCGTTACAACTACAAATGGCTCCTCTACCACGTATTCGATTAGATCTCACAATGAAACCATTTACAAATTGCGCAGTAGACTTTGCTGGGCCTTTCTTTACCATACAAGGTTGTGGAAAGTCCCGAATCAAGAGATACCTTTGCCTGTTCCTATGCCTTCAAACACATTGTGTTCACTTGAAAATGGCATGGTCTTTGGAAACTGATGGATTTCTGAAAGCTCTAACATGTATGGTTTGGGATGGGGTTGGCCAAGAGACATGCTCAGTGATAACAGGACAAATTTTGTTGGAGGCAACAATGAATTGCAAGAGTTGGTACAGCATTTAGATCAAGACATAATTCAGCATATGACATCAAATAACGGGATTCGTTGGCATTGGAATCCACCATTAGCACATCATTTTGGGGGTGTCTTTGAACGAATGATTCAATTGTTAAAGACGAAGTTAAAGTCAATGTTAAAGACGAAGAATTATTGATGGTGTTCGCGGGAGTCGAAAGTTTGTTAAATTCAAGACCTTTAAGGGAGAGGTGGATGCGAGAGTATGTTACAAGTATTGGATCATGTAAGAAATGGTTGGATCGAGAAGAGAACTTAAAGGAAGGAAACATTGTGTTGGTAGTCGATCCAGACACTCCTAGAAGAAACTGGAACGTTGGGAGAATCGTTGGTGTAAATCCCAGTGGTGATGGACTAGTGAGAGTTGTACGTATCGAAGATCAATATCTCGAATCTCTCGGTTGGAATTTGTAGATAAGTAATATAAACGTTTTAGTAATGATAATAATATTGTATTGAGGGATGATCATCCAAAGATGCTTTTCAATGAATCCCTCACCACAAATACAATATTATACATATATGAATATCAGTAAGAAAACTATCCGAAGTTATAATACTATTAAAAAAAGTTTAAAATATGCTAAACTTAAATGGTAAAATGTTAAGAGAGAAGTTTTCTTTTAAAAATATTAAAATTAGCTATATTCTTAATGTCATTATCTAAGTCATTCCAATCCTTCGCTGCCTGATATATAAAGCGTTGTTTTCCCCATTCTGTTTTAACTTTTGGAAGATAAAGGTTGGCACTCCGACGAGTGGAGTCACTCTATGGCGGTTGCAGTTCTGAATCAGTATTAATTCTGTGTCCATAGTGCCATGAAGGCACTTATGAATTGCAATGCAACGATGTTGTTGACGTCTTGTATTTAGTTCTACCCAATTTAATTTCTGAAGGGCATCAGTAGCCGAGTGTGTGCGTGGTAATCCCAGTATGACCTTTGCGGCCTTGTTTTGCAAAATTTGTAAATCATCCATCAAAACTTTGTTGTTTTTATCCCCCCAAACCAAATCCGCATAGTCAAACAGGGGTAATATGATTGAGTTATACACAGTAATGAGTTCCTCCTTAGAAAGAATGAGCTGTCAACACTTTAGTATGCCAATACGTTGATTTATCTTTGCACTCATAATTTTGACGTGGTCCGTCCATGTTAAATTTTCATTAATCGTAATACCCAAGTACTTGGCCATCACAGATTGATTTACTTGATGACCTTGTACTGTCACCTTGATACCATCACAGGACTTGAGTTTGCGTGAGCTACTAATCAAAACAAACTTCGACTTCTCAGCATTCAATGTTAAGAAATTATTATTGAACCAAACTGTTATGTTTTCCAGTTCTTCGTTGAGTTTAGTTTCAACATTGCTAACCATCCTTGATGAATAGTATAAAATAGTGTCATCGGCATATAACATCACTTTACAAGATTTAAGACATTGTGGTAGTTTAATGAACATTCATATTCAAACTTTGGGACAGTTGACTTCAGATTCTAGTAGAATCAGGGAGGGGGAAAGGTAGAAACGGTTTTGACATTTTCATAGCTTTTTATAATTAATTTATTGTTTATTTTATGTTTAAGACTTCATGTAAGATTGTATATAGTTAATGTATTAGACAAAACATTCAGTCGAGCGTGTCAGCGTGGTTTTTGGGTTTATTTCGTAGGGAAAAAGCAGTCAATGGATTAGAGATATTCGAAATAAGTAAACCCGTGTTTACACCACAGGTTGATGTTGTATATCAAGTCCATTGAAATAGGTAAGTTATAGATATGCAGGAGATGCTCTGTAATGGATTGGAAGAAAGTGAGAAGGTAATGGGTAATATAGAGAGTTAGAAGAGCTTATTTTGAAGTTATAGCAGAGTTTTACCTTAATAGTGATGAGTACAATATTTTAACATTTGATGAGCCTAACACATTCCATATTGCTTTAGGTGGCGATGGTGCTCCTTTCGGTAAAGATGATAATGCATGCTCTTGGCTGGTAAGTTTTCTCAATATTGGACAACATATACTGAGTAAGAACGAATTTTCCTTTTTTTGAGGCAAATTACTCGGAAGAACAGTTTGCCAGTTGAAAGCTTCATCACAAAGCTAATGACAGATATCCATCATATTCTGTATTATGTAAAGTATTATTTAAGGTTACAGAACACCTTTGAGTGTTATTTTGCCTAAAATTTTTTTATTGGTTTCCATGAAAGCATTAGACTAGTTCTACTATCTGACCAAGTTTGAACAAAAAATGTTGAAAACTCGCAGAGTTATTTAATAAAATACATGTCGCTGCAATAAGAAAAACATTGAAAATATAATATTCAAATTCAATTTTCTCCCAAAAAATTTTACGGTAGTAATTACTGATTTTCAAACGAGGTGTGCTCCTGCAGGTTTTAACCAATTTTTCTGAAATTTTCACAGGACATAGCTAAAGACGTCAGTTTCAAAATTGCTTTTTTTTAAATTTTGGATATTTTAATAATAAAGACCAATTCACCCAAACAATTCAGAAATATATTGCAGTCGTCAAAGAAATCGCCATATCAGCAGAATGACGAAATAAACAAAAATTTCCTATTTTACTGTATAAAAATAATATTTTCATAAATATAACTTAAAACCAGCAGGAACACAACTCGAAAGTATAACAGTACCGCGATTTAAGATTTTCCTGAATAAATTCTTACATTATTTTATTGTTTGTTAATTTACATTATGTGAAACATAACGTTTGGCGAACATTTGGTGAAAATTTGATTAAAATCGGACTGATATTGAGCGAGCAGTAGCGGTTTTCCACAAAACGCCAAAAAGGGTTATCCTGTAACCTTAATAAAACATCCTTTCCACCTATTGAATGTGTTTTCTGCAGTTAGCTTTGCCAACTAGGGCAGGATCACCACAACAGCATATGCCAATTACTGTGGGCTCTTTTTACCTAACCCATCCTGTCAACTTTCCCTGTGGGAGGAAACCGGAGTACCCGGGGAAAACCCACAACTTTCGGCAGAGCGTTGACTTTTACTCTTTTCACATGAGGACTGGGTTCAAGTCGCATTGAGAACGTTCTCACTGAGGCTTGAACCTGCGGCCTCAGAGATGAAAGGCAAGTGCCCACTGAAGCCCCATATATTAAACACTTGTTCTCTTCAAGGTCAAGATCACAGAAAAGAGGCCTTTTTTAATATTTTTAAAAAATCTTTTATTTCAATGTGAATTTTATTTTTGTCTTTTTTATTCTGCATAACATTTGCAAGATTCAAAAAACAAAATTTTTGCCGCAGTGGGAAGAACCAGAACGAGCCAAAGAGGCAGTTGTAGGGATTGACAATATGTTCATTGACATTGTAGAAGCAGATGCACACAATATTCATTGTGTATTAATTTGTGTATTGTGTATTACTACATTGCTAAATTAGCAACAAAGGGCTGTGCTCAAAAAGACAAAGATTTTAGCTGGTGATCCATATTACCTTTTGTACTGAAATGTTAGCTAATTTACCCAGCATTTGCTGGCATTGCTTATTAAGACTGATGAGCACCCGATTCACACACGGGGACGAAAATGATGCATTCAGCACTGTTACCTCCAACCTGACATGCGCACATGAGTGCAAATTTATTTTCAAGATGGCCAGCCGAATGGGCGATTTTTTAAGCTCTTCAATGGTGCGAAACTTGTTTAATTTGACCAAATACATGTTTTTTCTTTGCGGTTTGGTGAAAGGGATCTGTTTCAGGAATTTGACGGGATGAAAGGGATTTTGCTTTTAGAAGACGTTACAATACATTGTCAAATGTATTGCCAAATCTTTGAGGATCACTTTTGGATTTACAATATAAGTTATATTAAAATTGCAAATGAGCAAGCAGACTATTAAATGGCTTCGTTTGGTATCTTTCGGTCACTCTGTTGGAATTGAATACAAGGAATTGAATTTTAGAACTTTTAGAACAACTCCAAACCATAGTTAATATAATGAGAGGGTTTGGAAGGCCGGATCACATGACAAAATAACTTATTGTTCTCGGTCACGTGGAACTTATAGTGCATGCTTCGAGGTGTTTACATATACGATAGTATAATAGTTTAAGCCAAACAGAGCCTAAAAACATTAAATTTCATTGAATTTTCCGCGATGCCGGGAGCGAATTGCTCCATATCGGCTGTGGTACATGTCGAAATAGTGCTGGAGTTGGAATTTTTCGGATCCCTTCAGGAAAAGACGCATTATCAACGAAAACTCGTGAAGCGTGGAGCAACATAATTACAAAGGACCGCGTAGTGGATGAAAATTTGCGAAGGCAAATAAAAAAATGGGACGTTGCATGTTTGCGAGAAGCACTTCAAGAAAGAGGAATATGAAATGTACTTATTTAGACATTATTCTTAAGACTTTATAGTTTAATAATAAGACTTTACAGTGTAAGTCTCAGGCTTTTTACACTTTGTTTATGCTGTCCCCGGAGCCCATCGTTGTGTGGTACGAGATTGGCTGATTTTATTGTTAATTTTCTTCTGATAAATAGGAATTTGCCAATTAGTTAACTTAAGAATGACATGAGTGTTCTTACTGTGTATGTATCTATTTATTTTCTGAAAATTTGTCATTTATCAAAAGTAGGTGGAGCAAAAATTGCTGCAATAGTGTTATTAATTCCACAGCCAAGCTAGAAGTGCAATGTAATTTGTATTATGCTCAAATCATACACTACACAATGTATGTTTAATTAAGCCACAATGCTCCTACTTTATCGTTTTAACATTTGTCTGATGCCATATGATTTTAACTCTTTAAGCTGCAATGCTTAATATGCACTGCCCTTGATGTGTAAAATTGTCTGATGATAACACTGACAGAGTAAAAGAATAAAAGAGCACATTGAGATATGTTAGCCTATTATCTCCAATTAGCTTATTTAAACTGCATGACTAAATTTGGCTGAACATTACATAATTGAGAGAAAGTAGTTTAAGCTGTGTGTATATATTTATATATTGTTGTTATTACTATGTGTTGATGAAAAGATTACACATAAAAATATGAGGATAATTCATTGATACAGTATCATATTTACATTTAATATCATTGATATAACGTTATTGTATTATGTACCTGACTATTTCTTTTCTTCACTGGCAATCTTCAAGCAGAGACGGATTTTCATATTTTCGTTCGGGGTGTGTGGATAAATATCTGGGGGGGGGGGGTGCTGTTTGCTTTGAAAGGCCGGGGCCTGGTGGCAACACCCGGAAAGGCCAAGGAAAAAGTTTAACACAATTTGT